CCACCTCGAAACGAAGGGCCGACCTGAAGAGCGCTACACACTCTATGTGATTTTACAGGACCAATATTTTGTTTCGACAAATTATGAATGAAGTTTTTTTGGGAATAATCAAGTTTTCTCTTCGAACGAGATAAGTACATATTGCTCTTGCTAAACAACTCGTCATTACGTTGCTCGAAAAATCGCTCACAACATATCTAAGAGTACCGGGAATTATTTCTAAAACAACTTTCGCTTTACAATCCCTCCTAAATAAATATTTCCTTCTTTGAGTCTTTTTATGCTAAATGTCCAGAGTATCTACTTTACTAGTATTTGGATTACATTCCCGATTGCATACAAGACGTCTATTTGTAATAATCCCATTTTTCGTTTTTTGGACTTTTCCAAGCCTGACATCAAAACCAGATTCTAATGCATAGTTTCTATACATTGTTTCTGCTTCACCATATGAATAAAATTTTGATGAAACTTTTGGTTTGATATCGTCTAAAACAATCGGGGTCCAATACAAGGTATCACCAGGAGAAACGTAATCATGTGTAACATGTGGTTGTCCTAGTTAAACATAGCAAATACAAAATTATTCTGAAAGAATTATATAAATATTATTCTGAAAGAATTTTATTTTTTCTATAAAAGTTTCAATATCCTGAATGGAATTTAGTACTTTCACTGAAATCGATATTAACCTTTGTATCTTCATCAACGAAGTGATTTTCGTCTTCTGCATGATTTGCGTCCTCTGTATGTTCATCAATGAAAATATTAACATTTAACATTAAACATGTTTATTACAATATAGAATCTGAAATACAATGAAAAATTAAATAAAAAATTCAAAAACTTACCTAAATTAGGATTACTACTTTCTCCTATTTGAAATCCGCCATTATATAGTGTGTCATTATCAGGAAACTCGAGATCTTCAATTCCATTGTCATCATCACTAGCCAAATAATGTTCCTCATAAATATGATTATTGACATCTGGTTCTTGATCACCTATACCATTGAAATTTCAATAGTGTTTGTATATGCTTTAGAAGTTGAAAAAATAAAATATTATAAACTGTCATACAAACTAAGTAGGGATGAAAATGGATTCTATGCAAATTAAAAGGCTTGATATTAGGGACCACTGATAAAAATACATAATTTTAATTTGATTTTTTATTTTTAAACATGATAAAGATAAAAATATTCATAAGATACTATATTCACATTCCAAATATAAAAAATTCTAACAATACATTAAATTAATTACTTAACAATATTATTATGTATTTTTTTTAAAAAGTTGCACAATATTTTATTAACGACAACATTCTATTAGAATTATATATCAATATGGATTCCAAAACTCTGCATATTATCATAATGACATAATTCTATCAGAATACTCTAGCAATATGACTTATAAAACTTATTAATTTGTGTTACCTCGAATCAACGCACACATTGAATATCATTCTGCTAGAATAATATAGAAATATAGCTAACAAAAATGTTTACATTAACTCTTAAACTGTTTAAGTTCAATTATTTGTATTGCTCATTGTTTACAGTTTACATTTTTTTGACATTATGTGTTTTGATTTTATGAAACATCAAACGTATTGAATGAAATATAATGAACATTATTTTTTTGACATAATGTTGGAATGAGAACTGTAATGTTTTACTCTGACATTCCATTGGAATGATAAACTGTATGATCCTATAAACATAAATATACCAGAAAAACACAAACATCTTATTAGTTGTAAACATAATAATTAAAGAAAACACCTAGAATTCATCAAACGATAATTTTATTACACGGAACTGAAACTTAATAATACCATATACTTCATCAAAAACATACTTTTATTTTACTGAAATCAAACTAAATAATATCTAAAAACGACGAATTTGATGAATTTATTGTAGTTCTATCTTTTCTTCAATCCAAAAGGACAGTTCCTGCTATCATGATCAAATCAAATGCATGTTTTACATCTCTTTTTTTTCTTCACAACTTCATTCACCGGATTCTTGGGATCATTGACATTACCCAAATCCTTCCCGAGATGTTGATCTTCATTTTCCTGGAAGATTATCAGATTTGATACATATGTATATGTAAAAACAGTAAAAGGGTGTGTGGGGGATGTTTGAAAAATATTTCATAATCATAGACAAATGTTGTTAATAATGTATGAATACTTGGTTCCGATTTCTAGTATGAACATCCATCGATTGTGTACAACAAATTGATCAGCAGCTAATGGAATCAACAATTTTGATCTGTGTGGGGGGACGTTTGAATCGATTATATAACGAAAATTAAATTAATGATTACTAAACCAGTCATAAATCATTGCCTAATATAAAAGGATCAGAATAAAAAAAAAGGCACATTTAGTATTATGGATCTATGCATGTTTTTGCTCAGCATAACATATTAACACTACTACATTATTAACATTTTATTTCTAATTTTACTTTACAGGTATAATCTATACAATATATAAAAAAAAAAATTATTAATAAAATAATATTATACTTTCAAATTGTCCAAATAATTAAGCTATGGTTACAAATCATTAATGCATACGCAATATGACTTTTTATTCAGAATACCAAAGAAAAAAACATGGCCTTATAGTGTGGAAGTGATTAAGCTTTAATGAAAATTTTAAACTTCACTTGCAAGTGTAAATCCCAATATTTTATTGTTGACCAGGGAAGCCTCATATCCCGACCCTTCCCCAATTTTATTTGAAACTAGAAAAGGTGACCCCACGTTACGGGGGTCGAATTTTTCAAAAAAAATTAAAAAACAGACAATGAAAGGAAAGATTAATTGATTGGTTGTCTCCTACGATTAACAGTTACCAGGCCAAACTTCATGGAAAAAAAATGTAATTGTAAAACTCACAGGAAAAACAACCAAACAAAATTGATATTTGTCCTTAGTACTCACAATGGACACTCTAACCGCTACTTTTAAAAGGTGCCAACTATAGTATCATGTTCTATCAAGAAAGAAACTATAGAAATGAAATACAATAGACTACTTCCAAAAAGGACAACCATACAATGATGGTCTTATATGAAACTGTAGAAATGGACAATCATAATAGCATTTATATCCGTACATATTTATTCTGGTATTAGTATTCTTCTTGTTCCATGTTTTTTTATTCGTTTAAGTGTTCTCACTTCTGCTCCTTCTTCAACGTTAAACATTATACATTCAGTTCAAAGTAGGCTTGTATCTTAGAGGCAAATTTTTTTAAAGTTGTAAACCCTGCTTAGGTAAAAAATGAAGGTAGATCCCTAAAACAGTAACTTGCCAATGATGATAATGAACCAATAAATACTACAAAAACATGGTGTGCTCCTTTGACACCTCCACCTTCTGTTGATACTCTTGAACAACAAAAGGAAAATTTTCAACCTATAAAAAATTTATTTTTGACAAATATAGTCCTTCAGGTAAAGAAATATCCATCCTGCTTATGTGGTTGTTGATAAGGAAGGGCTAAATATAAGGAATATCAATCTACTTCCATTTATCTGTTACTTCCATCTCTTCTTATAAAATCATTGAAGAAGTACATTGTCTAAATAAGAAAAGAAAATTGAAAATACAGCACCATAATTGAGTAGATTATGCAATATTTTTAGAATATAAAGTACATTGGTAATTGTTGCATTGAAAAGCAAATGTGCAATTAAATTTGAAGTTATAGTAACATTTTCCAATAATTGAACGCTTTGGTCAACACCTTGACTTATTGTAAGAAAATAAGTAGTCTTTTTTCATTGTCACCACCACTTTCACTTAACAAACGTCTCACCCTGCAAAAAAATCGTATGTTTCGTTGGCCCAACGACTTTTCTCACACCATACATGTTTTCCAAATTAGAAGAACAACCTGTTTTGGCCCAAAACAGGGGCAAATTGGTCCCAAATTACCTACTTTCCCTTTTTACTATACTATGATATATCTGAGTGCAGAGGTAGATTGGTCTTTCAAAAAAATTGTACACAAGGGTAGTTTAGTCTCAAACTGTTCATGATAAAAAAAAAATATGTATTTTCTACTATTAAAATCCATCAATTTCAATCAAAAAAACTTTGCATTCAATTTGAGCATAGTTAAGTGTATACACTGTCCCATTTTACTGTATTGTGGCGTATTTGAGTGCAGGGGCAAATGGGTCTTTCAACAAAATTGAAATATGAACAAAAAAACATTTCATAAGGGTAGTTCAGTCACAAATTATTAATGATAAAAAAGTTATTCTTTATTGATAAAATCAGTCAATTTTAATAAAAAAAAAAACTTATATTCAGTTTGAACATAAAAAAATTCCAAATACTGTCCCATTTTACTGCACTGAGGCATATTTGAATGCAGGGGCAGACTTTTCAACAAAATTGAAATATGAACAAAAAAACTATACATAAGGGTAGTTTAGTCACATAACTGTTAATGATAAAAAAACTTATGTATTTTTTATTGTTAAAATCAATCAATATTAACCCAAAAAAATTGCATTCGAGTCCTTATGTTTAAATTTGACGCATGCACGTTTAATTTTATTATAACCAATTAGGACTTGCCTTTCGAAAAAGCTGAAAGTGGATCACCGATGATGAATCTTTTCAGCTTCAAAATTATACCTTGAGATGGATGAATCAATATGCTCAATCATCTCACTTGTTTTGTCTTCCTTTGGATCCTCATGGAATCTAAAAATGCCATCCTTCTGGTTGGTAGTTGCATAGATCTCACCAACCTCAACCTTTTAAAAACATACAAAATCCAAACGCAATTATAAAAAAAACAATCAAAAAGAAAAATAAGATGCTTAAATTTTACTTACCATTTGAAATACATGCATTTCACCCTTCTTAGCAGTAGTTATCTGTGTAGTGTTGACTATGTCTTGAAGGGATAAAGTCAAATATGTTTGAGTCAACCTCTGAATACTCCTTTTATACATATATGTCCTACGTTTTCAACTTCACATGCAAAAGGAGATTATGAATTATGAAAGTTAAATTGTCAAACTTCTCCTGATTCTCTACTAAAAATGCTTCAAGTTCTAAAATATTTATAGTGTTGTAACTATTTGGCTACTGAATGTATGGCTATTTGGAAAAAGAACAAACATCATATTTCTTCATTTGCAGTCGAACAAAGAACCACATCGATTGGTGGTTGAATTGCATGTAACATGTGTGCTATAACTATTTTGTATGTCCTTCTTTTGTAGCATATTGCAATTCCTCCAACCCGACGATCAATAAGTCTGTGGAAAGGCTGAAGTAATATTAACACAAAGCAAAGACAAAACCCAATTTCATAGAACAAAGTGAAAATGCTATTCAAACAATATCCTATTCTATATAGAAATAATAACCTTATCTAAGCAAATCGTACAAAGTAAATAAACAAAGTCACATATTATATGAAATTGGTTAAAGTTATTCAGGCATTTCAATAAGCACCTTATCCCAAATGTACAGTTGCCCTCCACTTGAACACAAATAGTTCCATTAAAGAACAAAATAATTAAAATTTATTGAAAAGAAGAGAAAGACATGCCAACTGTAAAAGCACAGTTGACAGATCCAATTGTATTAGAAGGACTTAACAAAAAGTTAGTGAAATTCTTAAATAAGTATCTAACCAAGATAGTATAGGATGACTTATGTGTATGTGTGGTCGTTTGAGTCCATTAGTAGCTTTAAAAAATCCTTTGTCACAACAATCCATTGAAGAGCATAAAGAAACATAAAAACAAATTCATTAGTGAGTAGGGAAATTGAATCCAAAAAAATGGTACACAGAACACAACAGCAAGAAAATAACTATATTACCTTTTCTCTAAGCTTTACAACTATTGAATTTGTTTTTCGAAAGTGTTCGAAAAAATGTTAACCATCTGCATAAAGAAAAATTCATTAACGTAAGTTCCATTGAAGCATAACATGAAACAGCTAGTGTGCAATTCTGTAAACACATAAACAATATATAATTCTATGAACATGTGATGTCCCAGAGGGTGCATAGCATCAAATTTCTGAAGAGAGATGGAGTTCTCTTTAAGGGTTAACATATATAAGAAAAAAATGAAACCCTACTAATACCTTTCAGCAAACGTTTCAAGTTTAGTAGGAGTATCAGAGACAGTATCATCGGTTTCAGCTCTCTTTCGTCACATAGAGAAAACAAAACAAAGACATATGCAACCATTAGCAACATAAGAGAATCAGATAACGGATATAGGGAGAAAAAAAATAGATTAGCAGGTAGGTTTGGAGATGCCTCCACAAGTAAATCGTCGGATACCTCCGATAGGCTCCGCCTGGTCCTCGCCACTGTAGTATCCGGTTATTGACCGTCACCATCGGTACTAGCATCCTCACTTTTTTTTGTTTCCATGACCACACAGCAGCAT